CTGTTTTTTGTCAGGCATCTTTCCTCGTCATCTGACATGTTCAGAAAAAAGCTCTCTTTTCTGTCAACTGATGTGTGACATGACTCTTTAGGCCTGCAAACTGAAGTTGGGGGATTTAAAAGGAGCATTGCTGGACTCAGACTTCGCTATTCGTGATCTAGAAGATAATGCAAAAGCTTTCTTTCGTCAAGGCCAGGTTGGTTCTTATATAGGAGCAATTGTGTACTTTTCATCTAGTGGACTGCTGTATTGTGTAGATTATCTAATTTAGTGCCTGATTTGAATGGTGAGTTTTACTTTCTTAATGGTTTTTCAAAGTACATTTCAATCATACTTGTTAAAAGAGGTTCATCACACTTCTGCCATGGCTATCTCACTTACAGTAACCTCCTCGACAATGTTAATACTTGATACATCGTGTATTGTTCCAAGAAAAAACATTGTAAGATTCAAAGTACGGCCAAAATTAGTATGAGGATTTGGCTCATAACTTTGCTATTATTATCTAGTTGATTAACCTGCAGTATGTGATGGTGTTATGAAGGAGGTTGGGGATTCTCATGTTTATGAAAACAGCACTACCTTTCTCAATATGTGTAGTAAATTTCTAAGTTATATCTCCTGAAAGTTGTAGGGATTCACTTCTATGCCGTTCTTGGTCATTGTTTTTTAATTTCTTTTCTTTCATTTTCAGACCAAGTTCTTTATCTTAATCTTGTGAACTCGTTCAATTTTTTGTTAATTTTGATCAGAGCATTGAAATGACATTCGTACTGCACTGCTTTGTAGCAAGTGTCGATCTTGCACTGCTGTGTAGTAAGTGTCAGGTTAAACACTCGATTAGTACCATTATATGAAGATATTTAGCTTTTCTTTCATTCTACTTTCCCACGTTGAATCTCACCCAGGTTTTAGTATCCAACATTAAATTATTGATGGGTTACTCAACCATTGTGGCACCAACCCTTAGACCAAATCTGAGAAATGCAGAGATTTCACTCATCCAACTCAAACTTTCTCTTATTTTTGGTGGTAATCGAGAGATAAACCCAAAATATCCCCACCATATGCCGAGCTTCATTATTACTGTAGTACCATGCCTTAGTTTCATTATTCTTTTTCTACCTTATCCTGAGCTTTAATATTATGATCAATTTGTACAATGACTCCCCAAAAGCTTATCTGGCGTGGTGAATTTAGTTTGATAGTATAACTTTTCTATAATAACTCCACTTCCACCTCGTACTTACAAGAGATGTCCTGTTTACACAGTATCTGTTTCGTTTTGATGTGAACAACCCAACTTCTTAAACTTTATTGTGAAGCTTTTGTGATGTATGGTAATTGATTTCCTGTTAATTCTTCAGGCATATATGGCACTTAATGATATAGATGCTTCAGTTGAAAGTTTCAAGAAAGCATTAGTATTGGAACCAAATGATGGTAGGCTCCATATATTTTTGATATTTCTGTCATAACTGCAAGATATAACGAGAGAAAAAGTGTGGTTTAAGGGAACTAATGGAAGGCCGTATTGGCATTCCTCCTTTTTGAAAATCTCTTTTTGTTTTTACCATTAAGTTCTGACTGCTGACGGTGTTGTTTTATGCTTTTTGTCATTCAGGTGGCATAAAGAAAGAGCTCGCTGCAGCAAAGAAGAAGGCTAGTGACTTTTCTTTATATGATTCTTTGATTGCACATGTAGACTTTTTTTCCAAACTCTCTGTGTATGTGATTAATAGTTACAATCATCTGCAGATTGCTGATAGACGTGATCAGGAGAAAAAGGCTTACTCAAGAATGTTCCAGTAAAGTTGATGCTGTCAAATGGTCTGTCCCTACTTAACGATGAGCGTTTCTTTATATTCAGAACAAATTGGTACTAACTTTTTGGTAGTAATTTTTGAATTCAGGCTTTGCTAGACGAGTTTATCACTTTATAAACTTCATGACCACATACTAGCTTATATACAGAGATTGGTTCAGGCTTCCTAGTTCGCTGCTTTTGATAGATTAGGAATCATCAGGTGATGAGCTCGATTAACTTTCCTTCATAAATCAGGTTTACTCGATTCAATTTCTCATTTAGCTCAACACTATCAGCTATGGAGGTCTTTGCTTGCGTTTTAATGATTGGTGTCTTTCTGTGCTTCAAGCTCAAGTAATCTCTGTTTTGATTTTCTACAGGTTTTGATGCAGAGCAGAAGAAATTTTCCAAGACAACAATTTTAGTAGGTCAAAGTTTGAACCAAATTTTGTTCTGAACATTTTTGTTTGCTGTGAAGCGAGGTTGTAGCTTGACATCATTGGTAGTGTTGACGAACACATCCAATATCATCCAAACTTGTTATATCTTTCTTACAAAAGGAAGTTCTTATTTGAACAAAAATGGATGGTTTTTTTTTCTTGATTAATATTTCATTTTTAGGCTTTTGGTCATCTCAATTGTTAGATAATCTGGCTTATGCTTTAGGTCAGGGAAGCAATCTCTGTCCAGTGTTGACTTGTGCTCAGTTTCTGGTCCTTGAACCTTGTTCTGCATCTCTTCCACCAGTTCCACCACCATTTATGAGTTCTCGCATTTTCTTTTTCCTTGATTGGTTGCTGGGGTGTACTTCTTTCAGTTTTCTTACAGCTTAGTCTCGGTTTTCCTGGGCTCCAAGCTTTTGTTCCTTTTGCCATTGAAACTCAGCCAATGCGCCAGTGAAGTCTCTTTTACTCTTCTTGTTACCGTGAGACTACTTTTTGTTTTTGGATTTAGCTTGGCGTTCTTCTGGTGTCCAGCTTCATCTGTTTTTTTTTTTTTTTGTTTTAACGGTAGGTTTGTCCAGATTAACTTGATGTTTGGTCAAAGACCGATCATTTATGTCTGGATTATACTAGTATGGAGAAATAAATTTTTCATGGCTTGGTTTCAAAGTGTTGTCAAGATTTGAACTCAAGACGTCTAAATTTTTTACATGTATATATTACCACTTGAGTTATCCTATCTATTATTGCTTGAGTTTGTCCCTCATTTCTGTAATTATTTGTGAATGATTATATGTAATCTGAGTTTAGGATATAGTGACAAATGAAAGACACATGATGAAAACTTATTTGAAAAAATATGGGCCACATATGCTCCTTGGTTACTTCAAATAAGCAACAATAATTAAATTCCATCTAACATGATCATCAGTTTACTCCTCATTTTTTTTTTAAATAATAGGATTAAAATATGGTTAAATATTTTTTTTTTGGGTCATTTCTCTCTTTGGTAGATTATGTTGAAACGTTTTTTTTATTATTGTAATAAAACATTTCTATTAGTCCTACACATGTGGTATTTTAATCATGGGTTAAAGGTTGTCTAATTCAACTTTTTTTGTGTAATTTAATCTTATATAATAAAGTAGAACGAAATTTGAATCCAAAAGACAAAGAGAGATTCAGATCGTTTTGAGACAATATATAAACATATCCAATGGACAACGTAATTCTAACATAAAAAACGGTTCAAATTGATTTAGTATTATTGATTCGACGATCTTAATTAATCTACATTTCAACAATACTCAATTACATTCTTTTTATCTCTCTTTATTTTCATTCAAAACATTAGAGAGATTGACTAAGACTCTACTACATTCTTTTTATCTCTCATCATCCCTATTTAAACTATTAGAGAGTTTGATTTAGACAGTTATATATCTGTATATATTTATCTATACTAACAATATAAAGGTAATTTCAAATTTTCAAGATTAAAATTAATATTCTCAATTTAAAAAAAAAAAAAGAGAAGAACTAAAATTTAATTGAAATTTAAATATACAGTTTAAATAACATCAAAATTCATCTAATCTAATCCCTCCCTTTCTCTCTCCTCTACGACAGACGCTCTCTCCAAAAACCCCCCTACACACACAATGACAATCTCTCTTGTTTTCCCCTACGACAATCTAGCTCACCTCACCACCGACAACAACCACTCATCCAGGTAAGCCCTTCTCTCTCTTTCACAACACACACACACATTCGAACCCTCTCCCCTCCCCCCCACACACAGAGAATTAGCAATACACACACTGTCAATCTTTATGCTCTCTATAAACTCTCTCTGCCGCTCCTTGAAGTAACAGTGCCTGTGGACGAGATCCAAGGTTCAACCAGCCTCCCTCCATAGGGATTCAATTCAAACATGGACAAGAAGCCCCAAAAATAGAAGAAGAATCATGATTGCGGTGTGATTTTCTTTAAATAAAGTTTGATTATATGTGTTTTGTATACAAGTGGATATTATTCAAATACCCTATTTTTTAAAGATATTTTGTCTAAAAATTTTAAAAATATTATTATATATATTGTTGATTGTTGTAAATAAGTTATACATTGCCTTTGTGCATGAACAAATATTTATAATTTTTTAACAAGTTACATAATACCTTCAGACACGAGCAATTACTAATTGGTTATATATGAGGTGTGATTGCCCTCAAAATAAGAAATGAAAGTTTACCATTTTCTTAGAACTTCTTTGATGATCATATATGACTAGGAGATAAAGTTTATATATATGTGGTAGTCATCTTCGGCACAATGCACCATTTAACACATTATCTTTCCATCACTCGTGTGCATTAAAAATTGGGACAGAGTATTACATTTTTTATTCAGGAAAATAAAAAGTCATTATAAGTTTACCGATTACCTTGTTCAATCATAATGATTATTAGATTTGATCATATAAAATACTTTAGATTTGTATTTATTAGAATTTGATAAAAATAACAGATTAATTAATCGATAAGAACCTATATATATGCAAAGGATCTCACTTAAATTTATGATAAATAATGTATTAAAAAAAATAAAAATANTTAGTATCCAACATTAAATTATTGATGGGTTACTCAACCATTGTGGCACCAACCCTTAGACCAAATCTGAGAAATGCAGAGATTTCACTCATCCAACTCAAACTTTCTCTTATNTCAGTATCCAACATTAAATTATTGATGGGTTACTCAACCATTGTGGCACCAACCCTGAGACCAAATCTGAGAAATGCAGAGATTTCACTCATCCAACTCAAACTTTCTCTTATTTTTGGTGGTAATCGAGAGATAAACCCAAAATATCCCCACCATANGTAACTGTACAGGGCTTCAGCTACTCTGGGCTGGCCCAAAATATTAGTGCACTAAGCACCCCGCGCATGCTTCCCTACTACACCTACGCTTCTCCGCCACGGTCCGTTAATCCCCTTTGCCTAACTCTTCTTCCCATTTCCATTTGGAAGCAACAAGGTCTCAGGCGGAGGTGCAGCNATTTTTGGTGGTAATCGAGAGATAAACCCAAAATATCCCCACCATATGCCGAGCTTCATTATTACTGTAGTACCATGCCTTAGTTTCATTATTCTTTTTCTACCTTATCCTGAGCTTTAATATTATGATCAATTTGTACAATGACTCCCCAAAAGCTTATCTGGCGTGGTGAATTTAGTTTGATAGTATAACTTTTCTATAATAACTCCACTTCCACCTCGTACTTACAAGAGATGTCCTGTTTACACAGTATCTGTTTCGTTTTGATGTGAACAACCCAACTTCTTAAACTTTATTGTGAAGCTTTTGTGATGTATGGTAATTGATTTCCTGTTAATTCTTCAGGCATATATGGCACTTAATGATATAGATGCTTCAGTTGAAAGTTTCAAGAAAGCATTAGTATTGGAACCAAATGATGGTAGGCTCCATATATTTTTGATATTTCTGTCATAACTGCAAGATATAACGAGAGAAAAAGTGTGGTTTAAGGGAACTAATGGAAGGCCGTATTGGCATTCCTCCTTTTTGAAAATCTCTTTTTGTTTTTACCATTAAGTTCTGACTGCTGACGGTGTTGTTTTATGCTTTTTGTCATTCAGGTGGCATAAAGAAAGAGCTCGCTGCAGCAAAGAAGAAGGCTAGTGACTTTTCTTTATATGATTCTTTGATTGCACATGTAGACTTTTTTTCCAAACTCTCTGTGTATGTGATTAATAGTTACAATCATCTGCAGATTGCTGATAGACGTGATCAGGAGAAAAAGGCTTACTCAAGAATGTTCCAGTAAAGTTGATGCTGTCAAATGGTCTGTCCCTACTTAACGATGAGCGTTTCTTTATATTCAGAACAAATTGGTACTAACTTTTTGGTAGTAATTTTTGAATGCAGGCTTTGCTAGACGAGTTTATCACTTTATAAACTTCATGACCACATACTAGCTTATATACAGAGATTGGTTCAGGCTTCCTAGTTCGCTGCTTTTGATAGATTAGGAATCATCAGGTGATGAGCTCGATTAACTTTCCTTCATAAATCAGGTTTACTCGATTCAATTTCTCATTTAGCTCAACACTATCAGCTATGGAGGTCTTTGCTTGCGTTTTAATGATTGGTGTCTTTCTGTGCTTCAAGCTCAAGTAATCTCTGTTTTGATTTTCTACAGGTTTTGATGCAGAGCAGAAGAAATTTTCCAAGACAACAATTTTAGTAGGTCAAAGTTTGAACCAAATTTTGTTCTGAACATTTTTGTTTGCTGTGAAGCGAGGTTGTAGCTTGACATCATTGGTAGTGTTGACGAACACATCCAATATCATCCAAACTTGTTATATCTTTCTTACAAAAGGAAGTTCTTATTTGAACAAAAATGGATGGTTTTTTTTTCTTGATTAATATTTCATTTTTAGGCTTTTGGTCATCTCAATTGTTAGATAATCTGGCTTATGCTTTAGGTCAGGGAAGCAATCTCTGTCCAGTGTTGACTTGTGCTCAGTTTCTGGTCCTTGAACCTTGTTCTGCATCTCTTCCACCAGTTCCACCACCATTTATGAGTTCTCTCATTTTCTTTTTCCTTGATTGGTTGCTGGGGTGTACTTCTTTCAGTTTTCTTACAGCTTAGTCTCGGTTTTCCTGGGCTCCAAGCTTTTGTTCCTTTTGCCATTGAAACTCAGCCAATGCGCCAGTGAAGTCTCTTTTACTCTTCTTGTTACCGTGAGACTACTTTTTGTTTTTGGATTTAGCTTGGCGTTCTTCTGGTGTCCAGCTTCATCTGTTTTTTTTTTTTTTTGTTTTAACGGTAGGTTTGTCCAGATTAACTTGATGTTTGGTCAAAGACCGATCATTTATGTCTGGATTATACTAGTATGGAGAAATAAATTTTTCATGGCTTGGTTTCAAAGTGTTGTCAAGATTTGAACTCAAGACGTCTAAATTTTTTACATGTATATATTACCACTTGAGTTATCCTATCTATTATTGCTTGAGTTTGTCCCTCATTTCTGTAATTATTTGTGAATGATTATATGTAATCTGAGTTTAGGATATAGTGACAAATGAAAGACACATGATGAAAACTTATTTGAAAAAATATGGGCCACATATGCTCCTTGGTTACTTCAAATAAGCAACAATAATTAAATTCCATCTAACATGATCATCAGTTTACTCCTCATTTTTTTATTAAATAATAGGATTAAAATATGGTTAAATATTTTTTTTTTTGGTCATTTCGCTCTTTGGTAGATTATGTTGAAACGTTTTTTTTATTATTTTAATAAAACATTTATATTAGTCCTACACATGTGGTATTTTAATCATGGGTTAAAGGTTGTCTAATTCAACTATGTTTGTGTAATTTAATCTTATATAATAAAGTAGAACGAAATTTGAATTCAAAAGACAAAGAGAGGTTCAGATCGTTTTGAGTCAGTATATAAACATATCCAACGGACAACGTAATTCTAACATAAAAAACGGTTCAAATTGATTCAGTATTATTAATTCGACGATCTTAATTAATCTACATTTCAACAATACTCAACTACATTCCTTTTATCTCTCTTTATTTTCATTCAAAATATTGGAGAGATTGACTAAGACTCTACTACATTCTTTTTATCTCTCATCATCCCCATTTAAACTATTATAAAGTTTTGTTTAGATAGTTGTATATCTATATATATTTATCTATACTAACAATATAGAGGTAATTTCAAATTTTCAAGATTAAAATTAATATTCTCAATTTAAAAAAAAAGAAGAGAAGAACAATTAAGATTTAATTAAAATTTAAATATACAGTTTAAATAACATCAAAATTCATCTAATCTAATCCCTCCCTTTCTCTCTCCTCTACGACAGACGCTCTCTCCAAAAACCCCCCCTACACACACAATGACAATCTCTCTTGTTTTCCCCTACGACAATCTAGCTCACCTCACCACCGACAACAACCACTCATCCAGGTAAGCCCCTTCTCTCTCTCTCACAACACACACACACATTCAAACCCCCTCCCCCCACACACAGAGAGAATTGGCAGTGCACACACTGTCAATCTTTATGCTCTCTTTCGCTCTCTATAAACTCTCTCTGTCGCTCCTTGAAGTAACAGTACCTGTGGACGAGATCAATGGTTCAACCAGCCTCCCTCCATAGGGATTCAATTCAAACATGGACAAGAAGCCCCAAAAATAGAAGAAGAATCAGGATTGCGGTGTGATTTTCTTTAAATAAAGTTTGATTATATGTGTTTTGTATACAAGTGGATATTATTCAAATACCCTATTTTTAAAAGATATTTTGTCTAAAAATTTTAAAAATATTATTATATATATTGTTGATTGTCGTAAATAAGTTATACATTGCCTTTGGGCATGAACAAATATTTATAAGTTTTTAACAAGTTACATAATACTTTCAGACACGAACAATTACTAATTGGTTATATATGAGGTGTGGTTGCCCTCAAAATAAGAAATGAAAGTTTACCATTTTCTTAGAACTTCTTTGATGATCATATATGACTAGGAGATAAAGTTTATATATATGTGGTAGTCATCTTCGGCACAATGCACCATTTAACACATTATCTTTCCATCACTCGTGTGCATTAGAAATTGGGGCAGAGTATTACATTTTTTATTTAGGAAAATAAAAAGTCATTATAGGTTTACTGATTACCTTGTTCAATCATGATGATTATTAGATTTGATCATATAAAATACTTTAGATTTGTATTTATTAGAATTTGATAAAAATAACAGATTAATTAATTGATAAGAACCTATATATATGCAAAGGATCTCACTTAAATTTATGATAAATAATGTATTAAAAAAAATAAAAATATATTAGAAGGAATTTTACTCCACAGAAATAAAACGCCGGCCGGATCGTGGACTAAATTGGTTCACATAGTAACTGTACAGGGCTTCAGCTACTCTGGGCTGGCCCAAAATATGAGCGCACTAAGCACCCCGCGCATGCTTCCCTACTACACCTACGCTTCTCCGCCACGGTCCGTTAATCCCCTTTGCGTAACTCTTCTTCCCATTTCCATTTGGAAGCAACAAGGTCTCAGGCGGAGGTGCAGCATTATTCGAAGCTCAATCTCGACTCATCGGCCGATTCACCTCCTAAGAGATTCTCGCTCTTCAATGGCCGATTCTCATTCTAGGTTCGTATATATACATGTATGCTAAATTTGAGGTTCGACCGTTCATTTTTTTAAAAAAAAATTTTGGTCGTAGCATTACTGTTTAACTTTAGCAAATTATATGTTTATGCATCATCAGTGTTGTTTTCTTGTACTGGAAATTCACGTTGGGAATTTTTTTTTCTATTCCTTTTCATCAGCGTTGTGCTTCAATCTCTACACGACGGTGATGGTAATTTGGATTCGGTTAAACCGCAGTATGCGGAGATTATTGTAGTTCGTCACGGTGAAACTGAGTGGAATGCCGATAATAGAATTCAGGTGTGTCTGTGTCCATTCGCATGAAGAAAATATAATATTTTTTTGGGGTTAGTTGAGAATTTTGGGATCCCTGCTTTTTGAAGGTGTAGAATAGATTAATGTATTCCATTTCCATATGATTTGCGCATTAAAAGTATATTGTTGTGCTTCCTCTAGTTTCATGTGATGAGTTTTGCCCTCAACTTTATTTGTGTTTTACTAGGGACACATAGATATTGACTTAAATGAGGTTGGGAGACAGCAAGCAGTGGCAGTAAGTTATAACCTCTATTGGCATGTATTTCTATGCATATATATGTAAGTCTGACCAATTATTTTTGTTGAAGGTGGCTGATCAACTCTCCAGGGAGCCTAAAATCTCTGCTGTGTACTCATCTGATCTGAAGCGAGCTTTTGAGACAGCAGAGGTAATAGCAAGCTGCTGTGGTGGGCTTGAGGTATGGATTCAAAAGCAACTTTAAGAAATTGACATTCATTTGCACTTTGAATTTTAAATTCAATAAGGCCGTGGCATGAAATTTCATTTTAAAATAACATGTATAGTGTACCCAATTTGATCATAAGAATGATAACATTTAGGTATCCAACATCAAAGTAGCCAGTAGGGAGGTACATACTAAACACCGTTGGAATATCATTGTCAATATGGAATTGTAAGGATAGGTGAGACAGGAGGAAGTATCACAGAGAAGGATGAAGGGATATAACCAGCATTACAAGGAACAACGTTGATGCGCAAATTTGACATGCCTCTACCATGTTTAGAAAAGAAGAATCTGTTGTGCCTGTGGGAAGATGTATTGGATTGGGAATTGTGGCTTTAAAATCTATTGAGGATGGACATAAATAACATAGACATACTTATTGCAAGGTAGTCTGTATTCTGATGACATAGCAGAAGATAGAGTCATGAGTTTTTGTAAGTTGTAACACAATTTGTATTGCAAACTTTTAAGTGGTTATTAATAATAATTAGGGTCATACTTTTTCTAATGTTTTTAGGTGTTATAAAAAACTACTGTGTGAATGATGTATATTTGTAAAAGAGGTATCCAAAGCTCTCCTTTGTGAGAACATGACTTATGCACTCAACAGTGAACATTGGGATCTGAATCTAAACTATGCACTTTCATGAATTGTCCTTTTTCTATTGAACTACAACTTTTAAAAATAATTGATGTTTCACTGTCATTTATAACCAATTACAAAACCCTCATAATCCATATTGCTTTTCCCATTCCCTTTTGCCTTTGCCACAGCCTTCTAATCTTGCTAATGCAGTTTTTTTACTTTTGACGCAACCGATTAAATGTCTTGTTTCAGAATAGAGATTATACCTACCAATTCAGCTTTCTAAAATGTTCCACTCGATAGGTCTACCATTACCTCCGACGGCAACAGTAAATTTTATTCCTCAATTTATTTACAACAATGCTTCTTTCTTTTGTATTTCTAGGTGATTTGAGTCGAATACTTTTCTGTTATAAAAGAATTATATTTAATTGCTTTTTGTGTGTGTGTGTGGGGGGGTTGGGGAGTGTTCAAATTGAGATTCTATACTGACGAGTTTTTCCAGGGACTATAGAGCTCAATTTTAACGAAGCCGAATGCAGTCAATGTGACAAGGTGACTGGCATAGCTTTATAGCTGGTATCATTACAAGCCTATTTGTTGTTCTTATTTCAGGTTGTTAAAGATCCAGACCTACGGGAAAGACATTTAGGAGAACTTCAAGGTGTTGTATACCACGACGCTGCCAAAATAAATCGTAAAGCTCATCAAGCTTTTGTATCTCGCAGGACAGATCAAGAAATCCCAGTAAGGATTCTGTTTAATACCTGTGAAGTAGTAACCAATATGGTGTGAGTTGTGATTTAAAATTTTTATTTGCATAATCTACGGTTTTTTTTTCAACAAAAGCACACCTTAGGAGGATCCCATGGATAGGGCTGCAAAATGTGGCAGGCTAACTGGCTAACCCCGTTTGGGATATTTGTACAAAGCTTCTGTTTGAAGCACAGTGTTGCCTAGCCAGCTGGAAACAAATCAATCATGGGTTAGATGGTCAGAAGCATTGCATTAAATCTAACAATTTTGGGTCTTAGTGTGAGCTGTTGGTCAGGTTATCTTTCTTGCAATAGGCTGCTACAGTTGGGCCTGTCATCCTTTTATAATGTTCATCTAGTGAATCTAGCTTACTCGGGCTAAATGATTTAAGGATGAGGTTGGGCTTGCTGGATGCTTGGCTCAGTCCAGCTTGCACTTGTAATCTGAGATGCTGACGAGATTAGTTGACACTATTATGCCAGCTCAGTGCACTGGGCTACTAAAATAAGTTCATCTTCTGTGTTCTGTTGCGCATTGAAAACAAACTTTTTTCTGCTGCTCATTTAATTGTCCTACTTGTGTTTACTTTCACTTTTAAGCTTTTCTGTTATTCCTAATTGTTCCTATTTGTGTTTAATGGTTCTTGCCAGAGGATGCTTTCTATTATAAGCTTTTCTGCTATTCAAATTCATGCGGTGCATGCTTTTAGGATAATGCATACCTAACTAGAAAGTTTGCTTGGGCATGGAATCGTTACTGGCATTTTTTAGTGATCCATACCTGTAATGCATATGCAGGGTGGTGGAGAAAGTCTTGATCAACTTTATCAGCGCTGCACATCTTCGTTGCAGAGAATTGGAGGGAAGCACAAAGGTATTTGTAGGTTCATGGTTAACAATGAGAAGAAAGTTTGCGTGCAATTATGATCCTTATTTCCATTGCAGGAGAGCGAGTAGTTGTGGTCACTCATGGTGGTGTTATTAGAGCACTTCATAAGCGGGCTTCTCCACATGGGCGGGCTGGGAAAATATTGAATACATCTGTTAATGTATTTCACTTGTCTGATGATGAATGGACCATAAAAGCATGGGGAGATGTTAGTCATCTCAGCCAAGCAGGATTTCTGAAGTCAGGTTTCGGTGGGGATCGAGTTTCCGGTTAGTTCATTGATGCCACACCCGCAGAGGGATTCAATACCTGTAAGTGAAGGATATATTCAATTATTTCAATCAATTCAGCATTCGAAGAGGTCTTTCTTGTTAATCATATACATCAGTGGTGCAGGAGGAATCCATATAAGTACTGACTTTCCATTTGTCTTCAGTTGTGCCTTTTTTCCTTCAGCTAATAATGTCTAAATATACACTATCCCAACTTTCACATCACTTGAAATTTTTACATCTTCCTATAGTCAGGACAGTACTTTAAAGCATGGTGACATCCTGTGGTCCTTTCTGGTTTTCGAGACCTAATTTCTGAGCTCAAACTAGTCTTCCAAACTGATTGTGAGTCTTCAATATTCCATGTGCAGTAGCAATGGCTTGACAGGGATCTGTATTGGTCCAATACATATCAAATTGATTGAAGTTGGGTGGCACAGACTGAATACTGGCACCACATGGCTCTGATTTGTAGGTGAGAACAATACAATCCAAGCATAAGATGTGAAACTTCAAACTCAAGTATCGTCGAATCAATATTGTGAACCATCCAAGCGCATNGGCAACAGAGAACATTTTGAAGTTACATAGATTGCAGAATAGTATAATGGGCCATCTAAGAATACTAAACTGATTTGGGGTTGGTTTCAAAATTATAATAATAGTGGGGAGAAGTGTATAGCCCTTCAAAATAGTAGTTGAAAGCAAGCATAGTCCAAATAGGGAGGCAGGTAGGAGCCGCCTCTTCCTTATGAAAAACATACATCAACTTTCACATTTTTTTGTGAGAAGTTTGTTATGATCGAGTGGGATCATGCCACCCTCTATGTCATATAACTACTCTCCATTCATGACTGTAGCCTAAAGCTTTGAGGGGTAAGCCCATTCATAGACATGCATGGTACCTGGACAATATTAGTTCAAAGCATATTTTTGTCCGATAAAATATTTTTTTATAAAAATAATGTGGTACAATCACTATTGTAAAATATTAATGAAACTCGTATATATGACAATGACTATCATAGTTTAACCTAGTATCAACCCTCTCTTCCAAATCTGTGCTTTTATGGGTCAAATCACTTCCCTTAGAAGTAATCTCCTTGACTATATATCCTACTTGGCTTTGTTACCAATATACTCTACTGGGACTCATATACATGATGGTGACGAATGTGGACGTATCATTTGGAATGTAAATTTGGTATAAAATTTCGGTGGATGTAGTATTATTGAATGTCATCCCTTACATAGACGAGATTAGAATTGATCTATACTTCCCGTTTTTGTATTCATCTAGTTTTGACATATATTTTCGTTGACATTTTCTCTTCCTTATTTAATCAAATTTTAATATGCCTTAGTGGTTGCTTTTGAACCAAGTAATGTGTTTGTGTATATATTCGCATAAAAGAAGCTTTCTACTTTTCAACGTTTTGAAAAGCAAGTTTGTCATATATGAATTTGAACTTGCCCGTTTGGCTCGTTTACCACCCCTAACAACAAATATATTGCATGTCAAAAATGAGCTTAGCTATAGATTATGCCCGTATTGAGAGTAATACAATTAAAATCTAATTTATAGATAATATTTAAGGATTTAATACACTTTCATCTTTGGATTAATAATACGTTCTATTATTTCATAGAATTCATTGTCAATTCAATAATAATATTGCATGGGTGATAAGCTAATTTTTAAACTTATACCTGAAGATGCCTTGTTTTATATTTGAATTTTATCAAAAATCATACGATCACGCATATACATAGTACAAAAAACATATTTAATTTAAATCAAATCATAATTAAAAATATCAAAATTTAAATCTTATTATAATAAGATAAGCGACTAATTTAATATTCTTCATTTTTACTATTAAATTTTAAAAACGTAAATTCAAACTTGATCCCCCCGTAATAAAGCACCTGGATTTTGAGATTCGTTGCGATACTGGAAGTAAGGTAAGCCAAGGCCAAAGGAGTTGTCTCTTATTCCTCACATTTTCTTTTGCCCCAAAACCAAATACATACGACAAATTTAGTCAAATCAAGGGCATTTTCGTCTTCCTACACCCACCACCGCCACTCAATTAAAAGCTCGGACCCACCTTAATCCTCCCCAAAATTAAACATCAAAATCAAACAACTGCAAAAACCATAAAAAAGTCGAAATATTCAATCATATTTCGCCACGTGGACACCAATTGTATAGCCTGGACCACCCTTCGTCCACATTCATGATCCTCAACCCTTTTACTTTTTTTTTTAATTAACTGTGATTTTTTTTTTTTATTTTTTAATTTCCTTTTCAATTCAACCAAGCTGGAACTGAGTCCATAGACCTCGACAAAAGTGAACGCCATCGTCGTTTCCTTTTTATCACCATCTTCAGATCCCTCTTTCTCTCTCCTCAATCTTCATCGCCCCAGACAAATTTCAAAGTAAACCCATTTGATTAAATTACCCAAAAAAATAAATAAATTCCAGTTCCATCATGGTTCTGAACTAGGGTTCTTGATAGATTGTGTTTGGGGAGGAAAGATTAAACGAACAACCCAAAATGGGTGCTTGCACTTCCAGACCCTCCCCAGAACCCAATCTCTCCGATAATGATCAATCCACCACAAACAGCCCTCTTCCGGCGGGCAATAACGCTGTTCCGATTAAGGGTAACCTTGAAAATGTCGAAAACCTTTGCAATCAGCCGGAGAAGAAGAAAGAAGAGGCCGAGGTAGGTAAGAAATCTCCGTTTTTTCCGTTCTATAGTCCGAGTCCGGCTCATTATTGGTTGTCGAAGAAGTCTCCGGCGAGATCTCCAGCGAATGCGAGCTCCAATTCGACGCCGAAGCGGTTTTTTAAGCGGCCATTTCCGCCTCCATCGCCGGCGAAGCACATTAGGGCGGTGTTGGCGCGGCGGCAAGGGTCGGTGAAGCCCAACGAGGCGGCGATACCAGAGGGGAATGAATCAGAGAATGGAGTTTCGGGTTTGGATAAGAGTTTTGGCTTCTCGAAGAATTTTGGTAACAAGTATGAGCTTGGGGATGAGGTTGGAAGAGGGCATTTTGGGTATACATGTAAGGCCAAGTTCAAGAAAGGTGAGCTTAAGGGACAAGAGGTGGCTGTTAAGGTCATTCCAAAAGCAAAGGTTTGGAATTTTTTGCTCTTATTCTCTTTTGATTATGAGTGAATTGGTGATAATTTGCATCAAGAATGTGTGATTTGTGTGATTTTGTGTTTGCTGGCATTGAATTTTTGCTGAAAGTGCTTGAAATTATGGTGATCTATCATATGCCTTTTTTGGATATTTTGTGTAATTGGACTTGGATTCAATTTTTAATTTTGATTAATGTTCATGTAATTTTATAAATCCAAGTTGATATTGGAAGAGCTCGCGTTTGTCCCTAATAGGTTAGACTTGGGGTGATTGGCCATTGAAAAGAAAGGAAGCTCCTAATTTCTTCTGATATATTGCAGGTTTCCTTGTATAGGGTGTTCAGTGATAGGCTATAAATGGTAAGTGGTTGGATCGTGGAGAAATGCAAATTTCCACGTTGAAGTTTAATGACTAGAAGCTGAGAGAGCATGTTAGAGCACTGTGGTAATTTTATCGATGTACTTTCTCAGGATGCAGTTCTGATTCTTGATCTTGCCATTGTCAATTACACCCCAGTGACCAAGTCGCATTAAGAATACAAGCTACAAAGGTTTAATAATTGTGAATGACAGCTCATTCCATACTTGCATTGACAATTGAGCCTGGAAGTTTATGCGTATCTGTGACTTATATTTCCAGAGTTCTTTAGGAATTGCTTTGGGATGAGAAGAGATAGGCTTAGATATTTTTGCCTAGAATTGCCTATATTCTTTTGTTGTTAGTAGCAGAACTGATGTTTTGAAGGAGGTATATCTCATTGGTTTTATAGAGGTAGATTAGTATTTTGTGCTGCATTAATGGATACAGTTCATGGTAATGTTTTTACTTGCTTGTATTCATGAAAAAGATTGTAGCATAAAGATACTGGAAAAATGCGAGGTTTTTTGTTGGTACCAAAATGCCTGCTCTGGCATCCTGGAATCTATAAGTTCATTAAATGAATTAGAGAGTATTTCATATGTAATTTGATGCTTTATTGCATCTTTGTACTTTTTAGATGAATGTGTTTCATTGAGGTATAGAGACTATCCTGGCAGTGGCAGACAATTTAACCCGCTTCGAGATTGAATTCAAAACTCAATTGTGGCACATTCATTTGTTGATTATGGTAGTCTTTTTTCCTTTGGGTCGCATGCAGTGATGTTTTTCCTACAAGTACAAAAAAATAAGGTTTGCAAAAAGTACTTTATCTTTAGCGAGAAAATGGCTCAATTGATGCTGGATGGTATGAACCTGACATAAGTTCGTAGATGTTGCTGATAAAGCTGTGANCGGTGATTTTTTTCCTACAAGTACAAAAAAATAAGGTTTGCAAAAAGTACTTTATCTTTAGCGAGAAAATGGCTCAATTAATGCTGGATGGTATGAACCTGACATAAGTTCGTAGATGTTGCTGATAAAGCTGTGAAAAGAATCTTTTGAGACTTTTCTTTTGCTTTGTGAGGCACTTGCCACTGAATCAAATCATTTTTCAGTAGCTGGTTGTTTTATTATTGAAAACATAATCTTAAGATTATTTGCTATATGTTTTTTGAGGGTCAATCATATGTCTAATTTCAACACCATGTACTACTAATTGAACTTACTACTAATACTGCTGGCATAACACCTGTTTATTAACAAGGCATGGTTTTTTTAAGATACAATAGTTAGATTGTAAGTTTTGTGTCTTATTTTCTAATCGTTTTGTCATTTTTACCCAGATGACCACCNTATATGTTTTTTGAGGGTCAATCATATGTCTAATTTCAACACCATGTACTACTAATTGAACTTACTACTAATACTACTGGCATAACACCTGTTTATTAACAAGGCATGGTTTTTTTAAGATACAATAGTTAGATTGTAAGTTTTGTGTCTTATTTTCTAATCGTTTTGTCATTTTTACCCAGATGACCACCGCCATCGCCATCGAGGATGTGAGAAGGGAGGTCAAAATATTGAGAGCTTTGACAGGACATAATAATCTAGTGCAATTTTATGATGCATTTGAAGACCATGATAACGTCTACGTCGTGATGGAGTAAGCTCTAATCTTTACACTTCATCTTACTCTGTGGATTATTGTAGGCTTGGTGGACCTGATTGCCTTAGTAGTGATGAAATTTAGACCCCTTATTTAATTAATGGATAGCATGACTTTTTCACTTTCGAACTAGGCTGTTTGTGAATAATATATTTTTGTTCAGCTTATATNAGTTTAGACCCCTTATTTAATTAATGGACAGCATGAATTTTTCACTTTCGAACTAGGCTGTTTGTGAATAATATATTTTTGTTCAGCTTATATTACTATGGAGCCTGCTATGCTTTCTCATTTTTAGTATCATTGCTTTTTTCCTTTCTGGACTCCATGAATTAGTATGAATACTCTATGGATAGTGATCAAGAAGCAGATTAAGCACTTCTTTTTGCAACATGGGTTTAATTTACTCAATATTTTAAAGAGTCCATTCGTTTACTTGAGAATACATAGTAATGTATTGTCCCAAGTCATTAGAAACGTATATTTGTGAGCAAATTTTGTAAGTTATTTAAAACATTTAATGTATTATTAATCTATTAATCTGTAATGTATTTTCAGGTTATGTGAAGGAGGAGAGCTCCTGGATAGAATTCTTGCAAGGTACTTCTGTTTGTGTTAGTTTACTGAATATTGTTGTATTTGTATTCTTCTTATATCTTGGATTTTATTGCTGGACCAGAGGAGAAAATTGTAACTTGTAAGAGATCAGTTTCTTTTGCAATCATTGGCATGTGATATAGTTGTTTTTCTTCTCCTGCAGTGGTGGGAAATACACAGAGGATGATGCAAAGGCCGTGATGATACAAATATTGAATGTTGTATCATTTTGCCATCTTCAGGGTGTGGTGCACCGGGATCTTAAGCCAGAGGTGAGAGACATTTTTGAATTACTGATCTATATGATTTAAACATGTATCCTGGTGCATGGAGGGTGAGTGGGTGATATTTATCCAGGTGGTCTAGCAGCAATCCATTTTAATGACCTGATTCTCCAAATCTTGGAGTTATGTTATGATCCCTCTCAATCCTTTTGTATTCGCTACCTCGATTTTTGAAAATCCCCATTCATATTGGTCCAAATCAATATGGTGAAGAATCTTGAGTGCAGCCATAAGTCAAATTACAAGTAGAAATTAGGCTATTCCTTTCCCCCACCTCCCATTTCCCTTTTTTCTTTCCCACAATACTTTTCTTAGACTTTGAATTCCTAGTTTTCAGTGGAAATGATTTGCCAGTTGATATGAATGTTAACATTCACTGAAGTTTGGCAGTGTCTTAATTGTTATTACTTTTTGTTTTGCACTATGTTCAGATATTGTATTTGCAATTGTTTTTTGGTTTTATATTTATATTCGTTATCTAACGGTAGCTAATTGATGGATCAGAATTTCTTGTTTACGTCTAAGGATGAAAACTCACAACTGAAGGCCATAGATTTTGGGTTGTCAGACTTTGTGAAGCCAGGTTTATCCTTCAAATCTAATTTTGACCTCTTCTGCTTCTTGTTTATATATATCTAATTTTCTCTGGGAGTCGGTTAATAAGTTTGATATCTCAACTGTTTTCCAGATGAAAGGCTTAATGACATTGTCGGCAGTGCATATTATGTGGCACCTGAAGTTCTACATAGATCATACAGTACAGAGGCTGATGTCTGGAGTGTTGGTGTTATAGCATATATTCTATTGTGTGGCAGCCGTCCATTTTGGGCTCGAACCGAGTCTGGAATCTTTCGTACTGTTTTAAAAGCTGATCCAAGTTTTGAGGAACCACCTTGGCCTTCACTGTCTTCTGGGGCCAAAGACTTTGTCAAAAGGCTATTGAACAAGGACCCACGGAAAAGAATGACAGCTGCTCAAGCCTTGAGTGAGTATCTCAGCTGACACCATGCCTACTATGCGTTTTGTTGTTCATATTCCTGAAAGTGCGTCTTATATATTTTCTGCCTCAGGTCATCCATGGATAAAGGATAGTAATGATGCAAAAGTGCCACTGGATATATCTATTTTCAAACTCATGAGGGCTTATATGCGTTCATCTGCTCTCCGGAAAGCTGCTTTACGGGTGAGTTCATGATGCTACTGTGAACTGATCTGAGTTTTCTAATTGATGTGTCTGCATGAACTTTAAGGTACAGTTACCATTGGCCCACTACGTATCTTCTCTCTTTTGTAGCTAATTTATCTTTTCCATTTCCATATGTTCTGGTCTAGGTTCTTCAATGACACATGGTAAAAACATTTTTTTTTTTGCTAATTCTTACTACTTTTTTGTTTATTTGTTTCACATGTTGATGCCTTAGGTTTTTCTGTACATATTCTAATATTTTTTTCCCCAATTTTCTTTTTATTGGAATGTGGCAGGCTTTATCTAAAACATTGACTGTAGATGAGCTATTTTACTTGAAGGAGCAATTTGCACTGCTGGAACCAAACAAAAATGGCACCATAAGTTTGGATAATATTAAAACGGTTAGTTTTTTGCAGAATGCTGAGACTTCATTACTGTTTTTGAATTGAATGTTTCTCTCAACTTTTATGATCTGGTCAGGCCTTGATGAATAATGCAACAGATGCCATGAAAGATTCCCGAGTCCATGATTTCCTGGCATCGGTATGTCCATTGAGTATTCTGATAGACATTGGAATCAATTGTGTCTTGGATGATGTTCCAACTATTGCATGGTAAACTCTCGTCTTCTTTATTGGCAGTTTAATGCACTTCAATACAGAAGGATGGATTTGGATGAATTCTGTGCAGCTACATTAAGTGTCTATCAGCTTGAGGTACTTGATCGGTGGGAGCAACATGCCCGTTGTGCCTACGAACTTTTTGAGAAGGATGGGAACAGGGCCATTGCCATTGAAGAGTTAGCTTCGGTGAGTTGTGCTTTTGTTTTGATGCGATAAAGGAATTTTACTATTTAATCTAATAGAAATGCCAATGGAGAAGTTCATTCTTTACTGGTATATTTCACTATTCTATGACACAAGCTCTGAAACACTGTTCAGTATCATAAATCTAATAATATATGACATTCTGGAAATATTCTTTCAGGAACTTGGGCTTAGCCCCTCCGTCCCTGTTCATACTGTTCTACACGACTGGATTAGGCACACTGATGGAAAGCTTAGTTTTCTCGGGTTTGTCAAATTGTTGCACGGTGTGTCTAGCCGGTCCCTTGTGAAAGCTCAATAACATTTGGAGCCCTCTTGTAGTCCCAATTGTTGCTTTCCATTGCCTGGTTGGCCACAAGTTATGCAGATAAGAGGTGATTAAAGATCATTTTCTGGGCTTTAACTCGCCCAAGATTTTTGTGGCTGCAAATATGATGTGGCTCACAGTTCATTAGGGATGGCATCAAGTTCATGGCAGAAGCCTGTGCCCACCCTTAGTTTTTGGGGGAAGAATGGAATCACAGCCGCCAGTGTGCTGCTACCTCAGCAATGTCAGCGTATGCATTTGTGTCTCCCACTGTAAATCTGTAGTTAATTTTGAGTTGAAATGCAGGTGAGACTATTTCCACCATTGATTATTAGATTTGTACCTGATGTTCTGGTATGTGTTCAATTGCCATGTATCAATTGTTGTTCTCTTTACACCTTTTAATCAAGAGATCTCCAACCTATTTCTCATCATTTTCCTCAAACTTTATACTAGGAGTTCCTTGTGCTTTTAATGGCTTCTCTCTTCCGTTTTAGGCATTGGTTTCACTGTATGAATTTTTTTTTTTTGAAGTGCGTTATCCCTACCTGAACACCATTGAGAACCAACCAGAGATACAGAGAACTTAATGTTTCAAATTCACCCCGGGGGGGTTGGGGGCGTCACATTGATGAGGAAGAAGAAGATGACACAGGTCCTAGCGCAGACATTAAAATAGTTGGGATAAAGACTTTGTAAAAGTGAAGGGAAGGTGAGTTGAGAAATAAAACAAAACTCGATCTTTAATTGGACACGGAATTGATATGATGTTCGTCTTAACGTGGTGGAATCATAAACAATTGAGCTTATCAAATTTGCTTAGTAAATAACTTGACATATACTTGGTAAAACACAACATAAACTTAATACTACTCGTACTCGACTATAAATGAGTGAGTTATGTATTGGATCAAGTTTTGCGTCGGGCTAGCGGGACCAGCACCTGGTTTTTAATTTGAACCTTTTGTTGTCCCAGTCAAACGGTGTCGTTTCAGACTACCAAACCAAATACACTCCCCCAGGATTTCTTATAAAGAGCAAATAAATAGATTGTTTCGTAATCGAATCCGCCTGCCATCGTAATTCGATTATTTTCCCTCTTTTCATTGCATTTGAAAGGTTGAGATGAAATGTAAAAAACACACTCTCATTGTAATCTCCTCTTCGTCTTCCGATGAAGATGAAGAAGAAGAAGAAGAAGAAAGCAGCGACGAATCAGAATCAGAATCAGAAGCATTCGATCATCACGACGACGACGACAGTGTAGAAGAGACTAGCCCTTCTACTTCCTGGTAATATACATATCACATGCACTTAATTGCTATTTGGTGTTCTGATTGATGATTTTCAATTGTTGTGTGGAGGCTAGTTCTGAAGATGACGATGATGATGATGATGATGGGAGTGAATCAGACAATCAGGATGACGAGGAGGATGAAACTTGTGTTGCTGATGATCCCGACATCGACAACAAAGACAATCAATCCACCTGCGACACAGTTATCCTCCTCCTCCGAGGTTAGGGCTTTCCTTGAGCTTTTGCCTTTTTACCAAAATGTATAGCTATTTCTTGGATGAACCGTGCATCAAGCCTTTTCCACTTCTATGTCTTGAATTGTTTCCTACTCCACTCTGTAATATCTGACTGCCATGCTTCGAGATATTGTCGTCTCATCAGGCCCTTTGACTTGNAATTGACATATACTTGGTAAAACACAACATAAACTTAATACTACTCGTACTCGACTATAAATGAGTGAGTTATGTATTGGATCAAGTTTTGCGTCGGGCTAGCGGGACCAGCACCTGGTTTTTAATTTGAACCTTTTGTTGTCCCAGTCAAACGGTGTCGTTTCAGACTACCAAACCAAATACACTCCCCCAGGATTTCTTATAAAGAGCAAATAAATAGATTGTTTCGTAATCGAATCCGCCTGCCATCGTAATTCGATTATTTTCCCTCTTTTCATTGCATTTGAAAGGTTGAGATGAAATGTAAAAAACACACTCTCATTGTAATCTCCTCTTCGTCTTCCGATGAAGATGAAGAAGAAGAAGAAGAAGAAAGCAGCGACGAATCAGAATCAGAATCAGAAGCATTCGATCATCACGACGACGACGACAGTGTAGAAGAGACTAGCCCTTCTACTTCCTGGTAATATACATATCACATGCAATTAAATTGCTATTTGGTGTTCTGATTGATGATTTTCAATTGTTGTGTGGGGGCTAGTTCTGAAGATGACGACGATGATGATGATGATGGGAGTGAATCAGACAATCAGGATGACGAGGAGGATGAAACTTGTGTTGCTGATGATCTCGACATCGACAACAAAGACAATCAATCCACCTGCGACACAGTTATCCTCCTCCTCCGAGGTTAGGGCTTTCCTTGAGCTTTTGCCTTTTTACCAAAATGTATAGCTATTTCTTGGATGAACCGTGCATCAAGCCTTTTCCACTTCTATGTCTTGAATTGTTTCCTACTCCACTCTGTAATATCTGACTGCCATGCTTCGAGATATTGTCGTCTCATCAGGCCCTTTGACTTGAACATTCAAACCCCTGGTGCAGGAGTTTTTCAAAAACGAATGTATGTAATATTGTTCAATGCCTCTCGTTTATGCAGAACGTGGCGATCTACAAGAACTAACTCTGACGGAATGCAAGGCTTACTTACGGAGTCTCGGATTGAGATTATCAGGGACCAAGGCAGAATGTATAGATAGAATCAAGGAGCACTGGAGGTTAGTAGTTTGTTGCAGTATGAACTCGTAGCGATTTGCAGTCATAATAACTCTTTAGGAGGTTTTGTGACTTAGTTTTCATCACCTTCCTATTTTTGTGATGGTTTGGTCCCTAATCTAATTCCGAGGTGTTGTGAGTTGTTCTTTTTGGGTTCACAATCATGAGTGGCACCAAGCTTATGGTTGTTAAGTTGTGATTTTGATTAGAAAAGGATAATTCCAATCTTTTAAACCTCAGGTTAAAAGATGGAAACGGTGATGCACTATATCCCAGATCTTCCTTTACCATTAATTGTACAGGTAACACATCTTTTGGTGCACTTGTTCATCCATTTTATGCAATTTTTTATTTTTTTTTTCATTGTTGTATTTGACAAGTAAACCTTTTGGTTGTCCATGAAGGTGATGTATGTAAAGGAGATGTTGTATTGTTCACACAGAAAGTATTCGAGAAGTATTCACCTATTTTGCCTATTATTTTTCTTTAACATTTGAATTTTCTTTTTTAACATTTCAAGTTCTAAATTGAAGTTAACAAGTGATTAAGAATCTTATTCATAACAGGTTTGACAAAGTGACAAGGAGAGGAAATGTTCTGGGGAAGAGAACTATTGCTGGAAGGATTGTCAAGGAAAGTTATGGTGCAGCCAAACAACAGCATACATTCACGGTAAGGTTAGAGTTATTGAGTGTTGATTTTTGGATAAACAAGAATTTGCTTGGTCTCACTACACGTCTTTAAGTTTCTTTTGGTGCCTGTCCAATGAAAGTGGGGATTAATATATGCAGTGGTTCATTCAGTTCTTATATGTTAATGATAATGATTTGCAAGGTTGAAGCATTGTGGAGCAAGGGAATTAAGAAGTTGCCTCCACTTTTCCCTTTGCTTGTGAAGGGCCGTAACCTATACAAATTGAAGACATTTAGACAGGTGAATTCGCGTTGATTTCTATTTCCTATTGTCTTATAAAATGTTAATTTGCTTTTCTCTCCCAATATAGTGCTGGAAGAATGAAACAGAAAGGTCAAAAGTCCTTGCTGAGAAGCACAAACGAGGCGCAGCTGCTAGAGCAATGAAGAGGAAGAAGATGTCATGCATAGGTGGAGGTATGGTTCTTGCTTTTTCAGGAGTCGCGTAGGATGGCTCCTTGCTTTTGGGTCTTTTACAGCATATGAGGTTGTATGTCTAACTTCTTCTGATAATAGGTGCAAAGCGTCAGAAGCATTTTCATCAAACGAGGCCATCTCAAGTTAGACAGGGAGCCAAGCAAGAGGAAAGGAAGACAGTTGACNATGTCTTTAAATTTCTTTTGGTGCCTGTCCAATGAAAGTGGGGATTAATATATGCAGTGGATTCAGTTCTTATTTGTTAATGATAATGATTTGCAAGGTTGAAGCATTGTGGAGCAAGGGAATTAAGAAGNAATATAAATGATACACTTTCTTTCCTTTGTGTTCTGGTAAGACGGAAGAAAAATAAAAATGATTAATTTTTTTTTTGTGCTTGGGAAGGTGAACAAATATTTATTTTTTATATTTTAAAATATTTATTTAAAAAAATATAAATATATATTTTATTATTGTATTTATATATGAAATTAATGTGTAGATAATATAATATATGTATATATCAAAGGATATATAAACAAATAAGATTTATTTTAACACAAATAATTAATTTTCTATTTATTTTTTTTTACAATTTTGAAGGGATTGATTTTTGTGAGTTAAAAGAAAAGTTTATTCATTCACTTTTNACTTTCTATCTATTTTTTTTTACAATTTTGAAGGGATTGATTTTTGTGAGTTAAAAGAAAAGTTTATTCATTCACTTTTTCATTATTCTTATATTTCTTCCTTATCAAACTTGATATTTTATCTATACTTTTAACTTTTTATAATTTTTTGTATTTTTTCATTAACTGAGAGTTAGGACATAAAAATGGATTTTCTACGACTATATGGTGAGTGATCTACTATTAAAGAATATTTGCTGAAATATATTGGGTGGAGTTCAAAACTTAAAATCAAATCATTAATCCCGTAAATTCATCAAATCAGAACAGAGACAGGAAAATAAGACAAAAGTATTGAAAAAATTGGATTTTTAATTGTAGGTTATTGTTTGATTTATTTTTTGTCAAGAATAAAGTCAATTTACAAATTAAGAAGCTGTTATACATCACATTTTCATTAAAAAAATGAGGAACAATAAAAAAACAACTTTTCTCTGGTTTGCCTGCTGATTTTACATTGAAAGACAGGTCATGTGAAGTGAGAAACTATTTTATAAAGATGGATCAAAGTTAGATTCCAAGTGCTTTATGTAGTAATGTTGTACCCAAACTAATAATTACATGTGACCAAAAACTTGTCTTATTTACCTACTCTGTCTATAGTTTTCGTGTCACAGCGGTTCGTATGATATAGTTTGTAGTTTGTGATGTCACAATTTACTCGATCATACCAAATTGTCTATAATCGATATATTGTCGGTTCATGTCATGTATTATAAATCATACATAATTACTTCTTTAAAAATTTTAGTTGCGGTCGTGTCAGATTTGTATTATGTACTCTGTTTGTATAGTAGTGAAAAATTACTGAAAAGTCCAACAAAATAATTAAATGAAATAGCCAGAGTGATCGATGCACTCTTCCAAAGACCAATTTTATAAACCAATCATCACACTGTAATCCATTTGTGGGATAAATACTATCATTTGAACTAGGAATTTGTATTTATCCAACAATTTGTAACAGGGCTGTTATGCCTGCACATTCAATGAGTCTTATATCAGTATACAGATCTCCGATTCCAACGTTCTAAGAACTCTTGCAGAAACTGATCTTTCGTCTATGTATGAGGTACCTGAAACTGAAATCATATGGCATGACTTCTAACAACTGTAACAGAGGCTCTCTTCCTCTTCTCTCAAGGCATCTAACTGTTTCATTCCTAAGTTCATCGGGTAGCTGCAGGCAGACCCAATCGAGANACGGCATGACTTCTAACAACTGTAACAGAGGCTCTCTTCCTCTTCTCTCAAGGTATCTAACTGTTTCATTCCTAAGTTCATCGGGTAGCTGCAGGCAGACCCAATCGAGAAATGCATCCAAATCCTTTGCAAAGTCGAGGAGATACCAATCCAACAGCTTCGGGATCATCAACTTGTTCGTTGTTGAAATGCCAATTGCTGCCTGTAAATAGTCTCTTTTTGCTGCTTCCAACTCATTCTCAACTCCAGATGCAGTGTACACCCTCACCTTCATTTAAGGAAATTGAAGTGTCAGTAATAGCACACCCACAATATTGGATTATCAAACGCAGTCGTATTTGGACAAAACCAGCAAAGAATGCTTATTTATCAGAAGTATAGAGGATATGATGATGCATATAGAAGCATAAAGTGCAACATGAGTTATTTCAAAATGTATCATTAGAGGTGGATTTGATTACATAACTCAACAAACTTTCTAAATGTGCCACAAACTTACAGCAGGGGAGGACCAGCTTCCACAGGATAGTGCAAATGTGACCAAGGGTTCAGACCACTCCAATCCAAACATGCTGCGAGCCTTCAGATCATCGTTCTTACCAGGTTTTGGAGAAGTCTGGGGAGAACATAAAATATAGGTCAGCAAATTCAAGGCTGTTCCAATGAACAACAAACTCCCAAATCGTTTTTATTGCTCTGCTCCCCAGCACGACAATTTTTTTTCAATAAAGACACGAGGTGAATGCAACTTACATATTTCAAGTGATAGGGAAGCCTCAAGATAAAATGCTCAATTGTAATTGCATTCAGGAGATGCCCCCCAACAGTTATCGTTGCCTGAGAGAACCGTAATTTAAGTTCAGATAAGTAGAAGACACCGTGCTAAACACAGTATAGAAGGATACACTCAGTGGTATGATAATCTGACTATAAATTCAGGCATAATAATCTAGTAGCGAATGGAGGCAAGTCATGAGTTCTTGCATACTTGGCATGTTTATAATTATGTCACCTGATGCCATATTGTTCATTTCAAAAGCTAAGACAAGGTCTGACCTATACTACAGTGCTATAGGTCCAAGTTCAAGTCCATCCATTGCAGTTAACTAATTGTATTTTTTCGATTTGGTTATTTATCCAACAGGAAAATGACAAATAGGAATTGAATCACAAACCATAAATTGTTTGCCATAAAGGACAAAAAACGCTGGAAGTTCTTGCCTTTTGCATCAGTGCTACAACCATTTCAGGACTCTCAGGTATCCCATGCTCTAGAAAAGCCTGAAACAATGGTAATAAACATACATTAATCTCACTTTGGTATTACAATCTAGCTAAATAATTAAGGTAAAGACTTCCGTTCAATGTCCATAGTGGCATTATTAGTTCTGCAAATGTGAATACTTTTAGTCCATTGTTTCAAGTACTTTTTTTCTAATCGAGAAATTTCTTACATTCATCATGCAGGAATTATATGTGTTTATCCAGAATGCAAGCTTCTGTTGATGAGTAAGACCTTCTAAGTTGATGGATGCCAACTTGCCAAGGAGCAGCCTGAATATTTAAAACAAAATAAATACATGTAGGAACAATATTGATACATGAAAGAGACAGCAACTTTTAAACACTTACTTTAGTCTATGGATCAGAAATGAAGCATTTGTTTTTCTGTTTTGATCAATTGATCCAGCTTCTATTGCACAAAGATGCTTATACGGACCAATGTCTCGAATTCCAGATTTTGAACAGATACCATAAGGATCCCAAAACTCCGTTTCTTGATTGTTCCCATTGAAAGCCAACACTAGCAGAGAGGAAAAAGCCTCTGCTTCCAATGTTTTCCCCTCGGATGAGCTCAACCTCAAAAAAATGCTGGATAAGCACTTCAAGATATCCTCGGAGATTTTGTTCGCTGTGCTTTCAGTTTCCAATGCTCTATCATCTAAAGAACTAGAACAGCTATGATCTTGTGCTCTTTCCTGGTCAATTAATCTGCACTGTTGCAGTACAATGAGGAGTGAGATTAATGTAACGATTAAAAGGCCAATCCTAATTCTTATCTACAACCGGAAATTATCAGATACCTGTTGCCTTGGGGGATCAGCACACTTATCTCCTGATTCAGGTTTAATTGGAGGTCTCTTTGCTGGAGTCCTGATTACGAGGTTATTCTTTCCCAGAGATCGCTTATGCTTTGTAGAATTAGAACATGATTGGTTCTCTTTCCCTGACATATCTTCCAAAGAGGAATTTGGTTTCTTTAAAGCTGGTTTCCCATTAATTGGCAAATCAGAGCAATGCCCCATTCGATCAGAGACTGGGTCAGAAAACAACAGCTTTCTACTTGAAGCACTTCTAGAAAGAGAAGGCAAAGGTCGGTTTGCCAATAATCCTGAACTGAATTCATTTTGGGACAAGGATCTTGAGTGCTCTTTTCTGAAACTCCTACGCAACAACACATTGTTTGAATCTGTTGAATTCTCTGTTTGTCTAGAGGATATCTGTACAGCTTCCTGATAAAGACCTTGTCTGAAATTCACAACCTGCTCTTCTAGCCAAACAACCTCCTCTTCCAAAACAGCTACTTCAGCAAGAAGTTCTATTGTCTGACAATATTGAAAATCAATTACATAACTTTTTACAAACCAAGAAACTTTAGATATATAAAGGCTGTAAATTTCTAAATTTATGTGGGTATCTCCAATTTCAATTCACAAACACTCCCAACCATGCCGTTAGTCCTTTAGAGAATGTGACAGATATAATAGAATGGGAATTGAATTATAGTGATTATATACTAACATATGGAGGGAGATAAGGAGGTAGACGAGGTAGAACTCCTAAAGGTCTATTGAAAGCCCTTTCCAATGCTCTGTGAACATTCTCTTCATGTCTTAGCTTCTTCTTTAGCTTATCAACCTGCAAATTGAAGAACAAAAAATTGTCAATATATGAGAGAGAAAAAAACATGTAAACAATGATGGAATGAACTCAATTGAATGCACTTATGGAGATTCAATAAGTACATCTTGCTGCAACGCCAACTTTCTTTCTCTTCTTGATCGTCGTCGATTTGCTGTGGATTTTTTAGCAGCCTGTAAATTTTTCACTTCATCTTCCATTGTCTTCTCCTATGAAAAAAAAATCAAACTTTGCACAAAGTGAGGGTCTGAAGAAAGAAACTAAAAACAAAGTTTATTCCTTTCTTGTGAGAAACCCCATTCAGATTTAGATACAAAAGTGCCCAACTTTTCAATCTCCAACGAAATCCTCACATTTGTAAGATTAAACTATGGAAAGAACCGTAAATTATTCGAGATTGAAAAGAAAAAAAATACTATGATATTAATATACCAATTCAAAATTGCTACAACTTGTAACTACAAGCTAAGCACAACAAAGAACATAAATAAAGAAAAATAAAACATATTAACTCACTCTGTGAGGATTGAAAGGTTAGTTCATGGACTGTAGAGTACCGTGGACTCTGTTATTCATCTCTTTTTTAACTTTAGTTCCAGCAAAAACAATGCAAAAACATCCTCCCTTGTCTGAATTTTAATTCTAGTAATCAATTTGAAACGAAGAAAAAAAGATAGGGTAATCTAATAGCCTGAATTCTGAGAGAGAGAGAGAGCGGGAAAGCTCAAAGGCCCAAAAAAAAGAGAGGCAGTGTGAGACACCACAACCAATGGGCTATCTATCTATCTGCATAGCATAGTATTCCTTGCTTTGAGAGTTAGATAAGGGTTTGGTGGTAACAGATGTATATAAGATCTCGAAGACTGTGAAGGAACTAAACAACAAAAGAAAAAGAAAAAAAAAAAACCCAACGCACCAAACTGAAGAAAACGACGAGGATTGGGAGCTTCAACGCCACCGAAAGCTATGCGTAACAGATGATGACTAAGAGAGAAGCAAAAATAGTAAGATATTAAGTTTTATTAACAAGTTCATTAGACAACAAATGAACAAATAAAATAAAATAGCAATGAAGAACAGAGGAGGAAGAACAAAGAGATATGGAGAAGAAAGAACAGGGTTAACAGACGAAGACAAGACAATATTCCACAGAGAGAGGAAGGGGTGTCCTGTAGCTAGCTGTAAGCCGAAGTGACAAGTTGTAAATTAAAAAGATTGAATCTTCATTAGCACTCGGACTAAAAATATTAATTAGAATGAAATTTTATTAAAATACTATGATATATTTTTTAAAAAAATTTCATCCCCACCTCCTTTAAATAGATATATTTTTAATGAGACTTCCTCTATTTTTTAAATTTTTTTACGTATTTAAATTCGTATCAATTAAAATTTGATTCAAATTAATTAAAATTTATTTTTTATGTATTAAAATCTGCGTTGATAAATTTTTTTTTTTTTTATGTATTAAAATTTGAGTTGATTAAAATTCTATTCGAGGCTCAAATCAAATTTTAATTAACTCGTAAAAAATTTTAATTCACCCCATTTTTGATACATAAAAAAATATAAATTTTAATTGACTCAAAAATTAAATTTTAATCAACTTAAATCAAATTTTAATAAATAAATAAAATATACATTTTAATCGATTCTAAGTAAATTTTAATCGGAACTAACAGCTCAAGCAGAGCTCAAATTAGCTTGAATTTTAATACGTAAAAAAAAGTCTTTTAATAAGTTCAAATTTTAATACTTAAAAAAATAAAATTTAATCTATTCGAATCGAATTTTAATCGACTCAAATTTTAATATGTAGAAAAAAAATAATTAGCTCAAATTTTAATATTTAGAAAAATAAATTTTAATCGGTTCGAATTTTATGTAAAAAGATTGTTTGGAGTTTAAATAGGGGAAATTTTGATATTTGAGATAATTTATTTTTGTTATAAATGATGGTTTAATGGTAAAAGGTATTAGTAATGTTTAAATATAAAGTATAAGAGGTATTAGTGATATTTTTGATAATATAGAAGGTGTTATTAAAAATATGATAAACTAAAAGGATCGTGACTAAAATTTTCCCAAAAAAATAAAGGTGCGGTATGCTGTTCTCGTGTAAGTGTGTGTACTTAATATAATGGTGTGGGGGACAACATGTTCGCATCATAAATGAACGTGCACCCTAAATCTCTAATTCTTCAAATTTTATAAATTTTTGTGGGTTGGGATGCAGTTTTTTGGGTTTATTTAAAAAGAAAAAAAAATTTATTATTTTTTAAGTCATGTTATAATTTTTATAATTTAAATTATAATTTTTTTTAGTCATTTACAACTTATTAGGGTCAATCCAAAAATAATTCCAAAAGTTATAGATGGCCCAAAAAAATTATAATATGGCCCAAAATATTCAATAGTGTAATCTTCTTCCACTCATTTTAAGTCATTTCTATTTTCTAAAGAGTATAAAAAGATCTATCCAAATTATTTTTTGTTCATATTTTGGTATTATTATGTGACAAATTTATGATAAAAAATTATTAACAATTTGGATGTTAGAGATTACATTGAAACATATTTAACACTTCAGGAACCAAAATGATGTAATTAAAATATTAAAAATTAAAATGAGACAAATGTTATAGTTTGGGGGCCTCTAATGTAATTAATCCAAAATATTTATTTAATATGTTCGAAAATTAAATTTTTTATATTTTATTCTCATTGTATTAAAAAACGTTGTAACATGAACCTTCGTCATNGGGCCTCTAATGTAATTAATCCAAAATATTTATTTAATATGTTCGAAAATTAAAATTTTTATATTTTATTCTCATTGTATTAAAAAACGTTGTAACATGAACCTTCGTCATCACTAACTTTTGACCATCAAAGTTTTCTGTTATTATAATCCTTACCCATTTGTACATTAAGAAATTATTATGTCCAGATCGAGAAGAGCAGGATTAGGTGAATGGACTTAAATTTTATATCTATGTTTGTTATTAGCATGCACGTGAATGCATCCCCATCCCATCCCATGCATGTGCCTTTGTTGTTTAGAACAAACACCTTCACTTTCTTCTTACAGATAAGTGGTCGCCAAAAAATAAAAATAAAGAGACTGGGTAGTAAGTCGTCTCCCCATGTAGTTCCCACATCCAACTCTCTCTCTCTCTCTCTCTCTCTCTCTCTCTCTCTCTCTCTCACACACACACACACACACACACTACCTACTTCTTGAACATCATTCTATATATGACCTTTTTGTCCGGCCATTGCCACTTTTTTTGAGCAAATTGTTCTCAAATCGAAGTTTAAATGAAATTTGTACTCTTAAATCAGCTTTTGCATGGAGAGAGCGAGAGATCATCACAATAAAATCAATTAAAATGGAACAACAAAAATACCAGCCAATGAGCTAGCTAACGTGCTGTACTTGCTGCTTGGTCATAATTCTGATAAGGAGTGGCCACGTCCACTCAACCCATTACCATTGCTATTGCGGAGAGGTCGCCGTCCAGCCCAAACAAAGCACAGATTTGGACCACCTTATTATTGGTGGGCCCACCTTCTGCCACAACTCTGCCCAACCAGTTTGCTGCTCCAATGGCCACCATTCAAATCTTTTGGCTTCTGCCTTCCAGTAAATATTATTAGATGTAACGATGTAAATGAATACACTATAACAATAATAAGTCTAATCATCTACCCAATTGACGTATCATGGATTCAAGTCCAACAATTCATATTTCGAAATGAGAACAAGATTGATTGTCTATTACTTACCATCCCACTAGAAGTGAGAAAACCATGTACACTAGGTACAAGTTTTTCACCTTTTCAATAGAGTAAGACTTGTTGTGGTAATGGTAAATGACTGGAGGATGAGATATGTTGGAAAAGTTAGGTCACTTTCCTCCGTGCTGCAATTTTGTTTTTCCAGCTCTTTGTGGGAGAGAAAATGGTCCCGAGAAAAACCATTCCATGAATGATTGCTTGTGATAGTGTACTCTATCTTCCTTCATTGCCGGCTTTTCCCCTACAGCTTCACCGGCAGTCCTTTCTCTCGTCAACGTCACTCTTCATGGACTCCAAACCTGCCTTATCTTCAACGATCCTCTCTCTCATTTTTTAGTAATTTCCAATAACACAGCATGCCTTGTCATCACCATCCTTTACGCCATGATAGTTACAGCGTTCTAACTAGACAGTCAATTCACAAACCCAAAATCCATACAGATTTGGATATAACCTTCGGGTGATAAATAGATTAACACATTAAATCTATCAAATGAATAGGGTGATATGAACCTAGCTAAGCACAACCCGAATTCACTAAACGTAACTTAAAACAAAAATCTAAAAATCTTTATAGGGAAATGTCAGCACTCTTAACTATCTTGAAATAAAACACCCTCTCTGGCAATAAGCACAGGCTTACATTGTACTAGTACAACAAATGTACTCGGACGCATGCCAATTCTAACATACTCATCTAGGCATACAGATGAGGCCTACACAATAATTAGCACATGCGACCATGCAAGAATTATTTGTTCATTCCTATTTCTACTGAACAAAAAAAAAACTAGACCCATTCAGAATTCTTGTTAATGTAAAGAGGACCAAGGTCAATCATGCAGGGAATATATATATATCTTGTCACTTGCACCACCTTATGCCACAAAAACATACATACAGGCATCCATGAACTCGATCAAAAAANCTAAGGTCAATCACGCAGGGAATATATATATATCTTGTCACTTACACCACCTTATGCCACAAAAACATACATACAGGCATCCATGAACTCGATCAAAAAAGACACTATGATGGAGTGCTTAGAATAGGTGGGAAATATTGGGATGGGTCAGGATCATTGGTACTGCCACATGGTTATGACATCTAATTCCAACACTGGATGAATTTCAAATTGGGCTAACACATTCACATGACATATTCTTGGTTTGTTGCCCTCACTGCTTCTTACAGGTCGAAAATACCTAGCCTTGGTCATGTTTCACAGAAGGGTTGTTTTCAAGACAGCCATAACTTGTCTTGCTCAAAAGAATTTCAAGACTTGGTTTTCATCAAAACAATAAAATAAATCCCCTTTTACAGAAAGAGCTGGTGCCCTCTTATGTTGGTCCAAAATGAACACACCCTTCCATTATGTCAACAATTGTGTTTCTCTCCCCAACTGTTATCAGCCATACTGCCACCCAACAGCCAACGCAATAGGCACCATCCAACAGCCATCACCAAAACTGGTGTCTATTTCAGTGATTAACCGATGTAAAAATTCTAACTGTACACCTCTGCAATCTCAACGAGGTCACATCATTGAATTCCTTAAGTACACGAACTGTATTTAGGCACTTTTTGTATTCAGATATTTCAAGCACGTGTGGAAGCTCTGAGCTTGCTTGTGCTTTGAGTGTGCAAATGTTTTATCATCAACAAAATGGGAGATAAAGTATTGAGTGGAACAGAATGCAGATCAAAATCATTAACAGAAATAGAAAACAAAGTATGAAAAAAATTAGTACGCGATTTAAGACAAAAATTAAGCACCCATTATGCTGTTGTCAGCAAGACTTGTGAAAGAAAAACTAAGAGTGAAGAAACAAAATCTTGTTTTGAAAGCTTTGAGATTGTAAGAAGATTGTACTAGATAAAATATTTCTTTGATCTGTCAACCTAAGTTAAAAAAGAAAAAGAAAAAAGAAGGTTGAGATGTTTCAAAATCAAAAATATGAATTTAGTCTATGTACATATTTGTTTGCTTTTGACTAACAGAGAAAACTGTGAAAATCACTAAGACAAGATGTGGAGGTGCATGTAATTATAAAAATTACTTAGTAATTCTTCATTAACCCTCTTGATGAGAATAACTTACAGAGTTTGTTTGAGAGTTTGTCACAAGGGTTTGTGGGCCCCTTACAAAGAAGCTATCAGACTTACTCTCTGCAGCAAGGGGTGACATAGCAAAGACTTGCGTTGACCTACCGGTTGGACGAAGTCCAAAAAGATGGTCACCCCAGATATCATATTTGAATTCATCCTTACACCCTTTCTTTTCCTCTCTGTTTACTGTTTTCTGATCATAATGTTTTGATCCAGGAGCCCGCACATGTTGTGCAATTGTTGATGTTGAAGCCAATAAAGGAGAAGGGCACGTCAAATTGGAGGCAGGCCTAGAAGTGGATGGGAAGGTTGCAGAAGACAAAAGAACAGGTTTGCTAGCTGTTTTTCTTGGTGCAGAAGGCTTCTGTTGATTAGGAAAAAACCAATTGTTACTGCCATACTTCACAGAAGCCTCAGGCTCCAAATTGTTTGCTTTAGAGACAAACTCAGTGCCTGAACTCTTCTCACAATGTCTATCAGTCACTTTGGCAAATGGATTCCTGGCCTCAACAGAATGATCCACATCAGGAGATAGTGACCATGATCTTTTGGGCGTGAGAGATGAGACAGGGGATAAGGGTGGTGAAGGTGTAGAATTACCACTTTGACTACTCGAAACCTCAAACTGTACTGTCAGTCCTGTGCTGCAACCCTTTTTCTTCCTTCGCCGTCTTCCTTTCTCTTTTCTGATTTTAACAGTGAGGTTTCCAGGTTCTGATGCTTCCTGAATATCAGAGCTCTCAACCCAGACAGAATCTGGCAGTAAAGATGACTGCATTGCCATTTCCTTTTGAGCATCTGACAAAAAGCTACTTTGGCATTGATATCCCAGAGTTGGATTTACGGCTTGAGCAGTCATATGCTGTTCTGGGGTAGCACCTTGACCATCAGGACACCTACCAGCAGATTCCTGCATTATGGTCTCCTCTTCCCCAATTGAACTTGACAAACCATCCATTTTAGAGGGCATGGCAAACTTATTTCTTTTCTGATTATTATGGACAGGATAAGATTTTCCTGCATGCCTTAGAGTGGGGATAGGGCTTTTCCCACTCTTGAACGAGTAATCTAGGGAGCCAAAGTTCATCACTTGGGGAAGGATGCAACAAAATACCAGAAACATTATGGAAGCAGCAAAGAGGATTGCGACAGAAAGTTTCTTCACTCGCATCCAGAACATTGATTTTTCACAGAAATTCAGCATATGTGCAGGGAGACTTGCTTTCATGGGTATCACAAAAATACCAGTTGCCAAGGCCAATTCGAGATCTCTCTGCACCACAGCTGCCGAAAAATCTGCCTGAAATGATATTAGGAGCTTTATGGACTCCCCAGGTTCAAGAGCAAAACCTTTACAAGCATGTACTCTAAACCCATCCATTCCACATTCTGTCCCAGAAACTTCGATTTTACTGACCTGCAGTGGCAAGTCTCCTGTGTTCTTTGCATACAGCTCTTTTGACAATGGCTGAGAACAAGCACGAGTGTCATCATCCACGTGGTGTAACATGTCTGGAGGAGAGGAATTAAGACTGGGCATGTTGAACCTAAATTCTAGATTCTTTACAGGCTCAGAACCCTCGAGCAAAACTAGGGAAAGTGACCCACCAAATCCTCGCAGAGATAACCACTCAACACCAGAAAGATTATTCCTTATCAGAACTGAACTTTTCCATCCACATCGATCCGAGGGGTGAAAGAAAATTGGCCCAAAAGATGCTCTACCAAGAGGATGGACATAGGCCTCAGTTAGCGCACTCTCGGCCATCGAGAAACCATACTTTGTCGGGGTAGCGTGTTTATTATGAACCCAACTACGGGACAAAGAAAGCAGAGAAAGCTTATCTAAGGTCCTACATTCATCAACAATTTGCCCCGAATTCAAAATGACCTGCATTACAACTGGTTGTTCACTTGGGTTTTTGACAGTGATCCACTTAGAGCAATGATCTCCGACCTGAACCATTGGAAACAGTAGCTCATGATCATCAAGCACAGACATGCCAATTGTGGTACCTTGAGATTTCCAGTTTCCTAGTACCAATTCGTCTGCTTCTGCCATCTCCAATGCCTTCAGCTAGAAGTAGTACAAATAAGTATATGAGTTGCTTCATTACTGGGAAGACAATTTGCATGCATGATACATTTGAATATATTTCTGCAACTTAAACACAAAAACTCAAGGACAGGAACAGAGACAGAGAGATGAGAGAGGGGAGAGCCCAAACAACCACCACCTCAACCAAAATGACAAATCCTAACCCTCTCGGTTGAGCCACTGGTGCCACCACCACCACTACTCATTCCACAACTTCAACCATGAAATCCCGATTCAACCACAAAGAATCCTAATTCCACCATAAAATCCAATATTTCCATTCAATACGAAGTGCAAGTGACCAAAACAGTGACTGGGTGGCTCCTATTAAAGAAGATTGGGTCTGTCCACAGAAAGAAGGGGGGGCAGTGCGAGGAGCTGCAGGGGGTTTTGATGTTAGGGG